AAAAAAAAAAAAAAAAAAAGTTATGGCCGGACGTGGTGGCTCACACCTATAGTCCCAGCACTTTGGGAGGCCGAAGCGGGCGGATCACGAGGTCAGGAGATTGAGACCATCCTGGCTAACATGGTGAGATCCCGTCTCTATTAAAAGTACAAAAAATTAGTCAGGCGTGTTGGCGGGTGCCTGTAGTCCCAGCTGCTTGGGAGTCTGAGGCAGGAGAATGGCATGAACCTGGGAGGCGGAGCTTGCAGTGAGCCGAGATCGTACCACTGCACTCCAGCCTGGGGGACAGAGCGAGATTCCTTCTCAAGAAAAATAAAAAAAAGTTATTTATTTATTTTTTAATTATTTATTTTTTTGAGACAGAGTCTAGCACTGTCGCCCAGGCTGGAGTGCAGTGGCGCGATCTCGGCTCACTGCAAGCTCCGCCTCCCGGGTTCATGCCATTCTCTGGCCTGAGTCTCATGAGTAGCTGGGACTACAGGTGCCCACCACCATGCCCGGCTAGTTTTTTGTTTTTGTATTTTTAGTAGAGATGGGGTTTCACTGTGTTAGCCAGGATGGTCTTAATCTCCTGACCTCGTGATCTGCCCGCCTCGACCTCCCAAAGTTCTGGGATTACAGGCGTGAGCCACTGCGTCCAGCCTTATTTATTTTTTTGAGACACAGTCTTGCTCTGTTGCGCAGGCTGGAGTGCAATGGCATGATCTCGGCTCACTGTGATCTATGCCTCCCAGGTTCAAGCAATTCTCCTGTGTTAGTAGAGATACGGTTTCACCATATTGGTCAGGCTGGTCTCAAACTCCTTATCCCAGGTGATCTGCCTGCCTCAGCCTCCTAAGGTGCTGGGATTACAGGCATGAGCCACCATGCCTGGCCTAATTTTTTTAATTCCAGAGAAAAGATACTTCAGTGAGTTGAAAGGAAGTGTGTTTCTGCTTGGTCAGGGGTCCACCTTCTCTGGCTCACAGAGGAGGCCCAGCCCAGGCAGGTGGAGGATACCCAGGGTGAGGCAGAGCCCCTTGGCCACCAGAGTGCTCTCTGCCCCCAGTGCTGAAAATCAGATGTGGCCCCCTAGGACATTGCTGGCAGGTGCGAGGGACAAGTTCCACGGTAGCCGCCGCCTCCCTGGTTGCGAGGACGCCTTCATCGTGTGGGGAATCGTTTCCCACAAGTCTGTGGGTCAGGCATCCCCAAGACCCTGTGCAGGTTGGATGATTCACAAAGAATACTCACCATTAATATTACGGAGAGAGGCTGGACGCGGGGGCTCACGCGTGTAATCCCAGCACTGTGGGAGGTCGAGGCAGGTGGATCACGAGGTCAGGAGATCGAGACCAGCCTGGCCAACATGGTGGAACCCGTTCTCTACTAAAAATACAAAAATTAGCCAGGTATGGTGACGTGTGCCTGTAATCTCAGCTACTTGCTACTTGGGAGGCTGAGGCAGGAGAATTGCTTGAACCCGGGAGGTGGAGGTTGCAGTAAGCTGAGATCGCGCCAGTGTACTCCAGCCTGGAGAGAGCGAGACTCCGCCACACGCACACACACACGCGCGCGCGCGTGCACGCACGCACACAAATTATGGAGAGAAAACAGCAGTGGAAGAGGCACGTGGGGCAAAGTCTCTGTGCTCCATTCCCAGCAGCAGGCTTGGGTTTGGACGGCGCGTGTGGAATGTTGACCAGAGAAGCTCATTGGAAACCGAAACGTTTTAGGGGAAGGCCGAGGAACTTTATGGGGCTGGTCCTAGGCATCCTCTGCCTGGCACCTGCCAAAATACCAAAATACCGGACTTCCAGGAGAGCAGGGGCTCAGCGTAGACCACGTTGCGTGTACTGTTGAGGCAGTAAGCCCCGGTTGTCAGGTGGTGGCACCTGACCGGGGAGGACAATGTCAGTGTCAGGCCTGTGCTGCGGGAGCCCCTGGCAGGGCCTCCACAGGTCTCTCCCCTCCCTGAGAGAAGCGTGCTTTCCCAGGAAAGGCCTGTGGGGTGCGCTGTGGGCCACATGGATCCCATCTTGTCTCGGCTGCCCCAAGGCTGCTGGGCTCTGTCTCAGGAAGAGAGCGACTTCTTTATTTCTTCCCAGTGTTTGCAGCTTGGGCACAGGAATTGGGTACAGGAGCAACTTAAGGCCACACTCCTGGGTGCGTCGTCTGCTGAGCTCGGAGTCCCTGGGTTCCTGGGCCACTGACACATGACAATGGCATTTTTTGAAGAAAACATATCAGCTGGCAGATAGCACGCATCACATCATCCCATTAGTATTTTCTTTTGAGTATTTTTGTCCCTCAGGCTGGAGTGCAGCGGCGCCATCTCGGCTCACTGCAACCTCCGTCTTCCAGATTCAAGCAGTTCTCCTGCCTCAGCCTCCCGAGCTGGGATTACAGGTGTGCGCCACCACGACCAGCTAATTTTTGTATTTTTAGTAGAGATGGAATTTCACCGTATTGCCCAGGCTGGTCTCGAACTCCTGACCTCAGGCAGTCCACCTGCCTCGGCCTCCCAAAGTGCTGGGATTGCAGGTGTGAGCCCCCGCGCCCAGCCTAATTTTTGTATTTTTAGTAGAGACGGAGTTTCGCCATGTTGACCAGGCTAGTCTCGAACTCCTGACTTCAGGTGATCCACCCACCTCGGCCTCCCGGAGCGCTGGGATTACAGACGTGAGCCACTAAGCCTGTGCCCCCGTTAGTTTTAAACTGATGTCACACATGTCCTGGGGGAGAGCAAGGGGAAAGATGATGGCTGGTGTTGGCTGGTGTTGGCAGTTGCAACCGTGTCTGGTTTCTGGCATTTCTAGCTGGCTTTACTTTCCATCTCTGTGCACTTCTGTTTGGTTTGGGAATCTGTAAAGCCCAGACACCTCTTTCCGTGAAGCAGAAGCCTTGTTTATTTGTGTGGAGGAGGGTTTAGTCGGTTTGCTGCTGCCCCTGGTCTGAGGGTGAGCTCTGTGTGGGGACTGTGGTTTTGGGGACAATCACGGCAGTTCCTGTTCCTTCTCCAGGACAGCTGCTTGTCACTCATGGTTTTTCCAGGAGCATGAAAAACGGCTGGGGCACAGAGCCGGCCCCACATCACTGGCTGTGTTCTGTTTAGCCTGTGTGTGTGATACCAGAAAACACATTATGTATAAGTACATTTAAGAATGTACATTGTAAAGTACATCGTTTTTTCCTTGGAGATAGGGTCTCACTCTGTTGCGCAGATGGGATGTGGTAGCAGTCATAGCTCACTGCAGCCTGAAACTCCTGGCTCAGGCATCCTCCCGCCTCAGCCTCATGAGTAGCCGCGACCACAGGCATGCACTACCACGCCTGGCTGTTTTTTTTTTTTTTTAATAAAGGTGAGGTCTTGCTGTGTTGCCTAGGCTGGTGTCAAACTCCTGGGCTCAAGTGATCTTCCCACCATGCCCTTCCAAAGTGCTGGGATTACCGTCTTCAAGTACATCTTAGTAACGTACTGTGAAATTAAAATTTATTTAAGATTTCAGTTATTAATAATTAGGATTAACTATATTGTAGAAACAAAGGTATTTTATGATAAACATATAAAGTATAGTCTTTAAGATCCTGTTACAAAGAGACTGAAAGCACCCACAGTAGAAGAGACTGGGAGCTTTGAAGCTGTGTGGCTGTGTGACACTTCACCTGCATCTGTTCACTGCCTGAATGTGAATGTAATTTTGACTGGGTCCTATAAACCCCAGGCTTGGAATGCTTCAGGTTTTGGAGAATTTGCTGTCCCCAAATCCCAAGTAATTTTCTTCTCTCCCTTAGGCACTATGTCGTCCGAGGCCCAGAGATGACCCCTTACGAAGGTAAGGATTCTGTACTTAGGTAGAAGAACACCAGGCCGTTTTTATATTCTGGATCAACCTTGCCTGTTCAACATCTTTTATTTGCAAACAGCAGCCTTTCTGCTTTGGATGTGCGCTCGTTGAATTGGCTTAGTTGGAACTCACCCTTGTCTGCTTTTTCACGCGCTGGAAGCGTTTGCTCTGCTGATGTGTCTCAGCCCCCGGGGCCGCTTGCAGCGTCTGTGTTCACCAGCCTCTGACACCATAGGGCCACAGCCGAGAAAACCAGACTGGGGTAAACACTGAAGCTGGCCTGTTCCACTGTTTCTTAAGACCTGGTGCATATCATCAAAGGAGAGACATATGTATTCAATATGCCCTCTGTGCTGGGCGCCCCCAGGGTCTCGCGATCCCCAGGACGGTCTCTGAGCTAAGCGGAAGTACCCCTGTGTGGTGGCATCTGGGGCTTTGGGAGGCTGCAGGACCTGCCCAGCACCTCAGTCCTTCATTAGCTACCAGGGCCGATCCAGCAGTCTGACCCCTCTAGGTCAGCAGACACCACCTAGAGTCCTGGGTGTCGTTTACAGAGTAGATGCTGAAGCTGTCAGCAAGTTTCTGGGGCCTTTGGTGGAGGCGGGCGCCAGTCTTGGTCTGGGCCAGGTCAGGAGTCAGCGTGCCCGTGGATACTGTCCCACCGGCAAGTGCAAGGCACAGCAGGGCCAGGTCAGCAGTTGGCTGTCCAGCCGCAGGGCCCCGGCTTCAGGTGGCTGGAGCAGCAGGCTCTGTTTGCCTGTGTGTGGAGACTTTGGATGAGATTTCACTAGAGGAAAGTGCTGCTGCTAGAAGGTGGTTTGCAAACCCCTGCTTTGGACTGTCGGGAGGGTTGTGGGTGGGTAAGAATGAAAAAGGCTCTCCTGGCCGGGCGCGGTGGCTCACGCCTGTAATCCCAGCACTTTGGGAGGCCGAGACGGGCGGATCACGAGGTCAGGAGATC